AAATGTGAGCTGTAACTCTTTTATAAATCGGTATCATTTCATAATATCAATTGGAAGAAATTCTTGAATATCGACATGTTCATAAAATGGTCTTCCAAATAGAAAATCATTCAATTGAATATAATCATCTTTGAGGCTATTATGATCACAAGTGGTAATTCAATACATAAAACTGTTATTATCAGGATTGCGGGCACTTTTATCACTATAATGAAGCTTGTTCATATTATTAGCGGTATTAACTAAATATTCGAAATATTTTTTTAAAATTTCAATTAGAGAAAGGATTTTAGGCATTACTTGATCCTATATATTACTATTTGTCTATGGTTGATTGATGGATAATTCAAGAGAATTTGCAAATTGAGCAAGTTTTTGTTGTGACATTGAACTTTTTTTATGATGGCTAGTATGATAAAATTTGTTGTATGTTTCTCCATTCTGATAGGTCTTCAACTGTGTAAAAAAATCTGGCAAGTGATATGAATGTGCACGCAATGTAGAAAGATGCGGATCAATATACCATAAGGCATTTGTAAGTCGATTTACAAATGTTTTACCAATTATATCATGTAGGCCACCTATCCAACCAACTTTTTGATCTTGAAAAAGTTCAATAATTTTATTGTAAAGTCGATTATAATTGTTATGTTCTATACAATATTGAGGAAGTAATGGCTGCTTTGAATTTTTCATTAAAATGCTAAAAGTATTTGGTTTGCTTTGAGTTAAAGCTGGCGTATCTGAATTTATATTGGCAATGAGACAAAATTTAACTTGCAAAAATCCAAAAACTTCTAACATTTTTAGGTTACCATTTAAACCATTATCAACTTCTCGCCAACTTTCAGACTTTTCTCTTTTAACAAAGACTTGCACCTCTCTATCATCGTATTGCCTACTGTAAAAGTATTAAAAGGTCACAAAACTTATTGGTTGTAGATTCTATGCTCACTATACGTTCAGAAATGATGCATTTGATATTTTCGTTAACTTATACCAAAGATAGAGCATGTTTATGAACTAGCGCCGTTTATGCGAAAAATCACAAAAATAGCAAAAAATACTGATCTGGAAATCTATTTATCTGTGAACAAAAAGATAATCCATTAATTCTATTATAGTATTTCAAGTAATCTGTTATCCAATTGGCCTATCCAACTTATCCAACTTTATCTTGATGGTTTTAATGTTTGGAATTAAAATCTAGTTGATTTAAAATCTTTTTTTTTGTTGCTTTATCCATTTAGTAACCATGACTTTCTCATGGTCTTTCAATCGCATCTTGTATTCTGCAAATGTTGTAAGATAAAAAATTCACAAATGATCTACAAAAAATGTGGGGCTCGGAAAAAAGAAGTAAAATATTTGAAAATTTTAAAATTGAATCCCGGCGCAAAGATAATAAATAAAATTCAGCCGAGAAGGAAATGTTTCGGAGAAACCTAAACATTTATTATTTGAAAATCAAAAAATATTGCCGGAACAACAAAGCTTTATTAGAAAAGCTAATTATAAAAAAAATTCATAAATTCTCCATACGTAAAAATAAGAGTAAATGGCGGTAAGAAGCTTTTATTTTTTTTTTTTTTTCACAATTATATTTTATAATTGTTGTACAAATTTCTAAATATCTGCAGTTTCATATGCCTTTCATGTAATCAATGCGATTGGTAAATTATCACATGATTATAGATGCCTGCCGAAACCTCCTCAAATTAATTTCGTCATATTCTTTTCTATGTTTTTAATATAGTTTCGACAGTTTCAGCTTTCGTCATATCCCTTATTATGATTTTAATATAGTTTCGTCTAAGTTTTGACTGTTATTACGAAATGAAGGGGTATTATGTTAAATGAAAAATCAAATTGGTATGGCCTTAATAGTAATAGTAATTTATTAAATTCATTTGAAAATAATAGATATAAGAAAATAATTTACTTATAATTATAATTATAATTTCAATAACAATTTTTTTTCATTTTTTATTTTTATTTTCTTACTTTATTAATTAAAATAACTGATTATAAAAAATTTTTTAATATCATAGAAATTTTAACATAATATTATATAATTTATTTAATAATTTTTTCATAATTTATTTTTTATAATTTATAAAATTTTAATTGTAATAAGTTATTATTATAATAAACTTATATTTTATACATGTAAGATTTCTTAATAAATATAATCTTATTTTATATATTAAATTTTTGATTAAATTATATAAATAATACTTACACACTTATAGTTTAATATATTAAATTTTCTTGTTTTCTTATCATTAATTTTTTTATAAAGTCTAAAACTCAATCTTAAAAAAGTAAACTATATAATTCATATTTACATTTTCATAAAATTTTTTTAAAAACAAAAAAAAAATTAATAGATAATATGTTTAAAAAAATTTTTTGTAAAGATATTTTTTTTTATACTAATGAAGATCTTAATGCTAAACTTTAAGACTATTTTTATTTTAATATCTATAAAATATCTATTTTCAAATTTCCTTTATCTTATCTACAAACTTTTTATCAAATTTTTCTCATTTAAACTAAATTTGTATAAATTCTGCTGATATTTTTCGTTTAAATAATTTTTTTTTCCCTTTATATTATTATCATAAACCATAAGCTAAAAATAAAAAATTATAATTCTGAGTTGACACGTTCTCTGCTGCTAAATAAGCAATTCACCTTTTTTATATATAACCATTTGGAGGTCGCCTTGCCAATTACTTCTTTCTTTTCATGAGTATAAATTGTTATAAGGCTAAACAATTTAACTTTACTTGGTTTCCTATGTTTCTTCCCGATTTAATGACTGCACTTGCACAGAATTTTTGTTTTTATTAGTTTTATATAATTCCCAATTTGCAGCTAGTATATCAAGGAATTTATTGATATCAGAATGTTATCAGAGTTCAGTAGCATAACTTGAGTCCTCAAATTCACTCTCATCAATCGTTTCTTCAATTATTTCTTTCATCAGTTAATCCATCATTGATAATTTCTTCACCATCCAGTTCTTTTTCTTCTTTCACAGTTGATGGTACAGATGATTGAATATTTGACGTGTAATAATTAAGTTGTTGAATTATTTGATATCGATAGTAATATTTTTCGAAGTACTGTAATTACGATTTAGATTATTGTCACTCATATTCAAACTTACAAGGTAAAAATTAAAAAGATTCCTCTATTATATTTGATACTCAAGGAATTCTTTTTGATTTCGAAAAATAATAATTGCGATTTCATAATTTTTAACTGCTCGAATGATCAAAATAATAATAGTTTACCGGAAAAATTTTCAAATTTCAATATTGTTAGTCACATCAGCCACTTTTTTATTTTATTTTTAAATTAGTATTGGAACGTTAATAAAAAGTTTTGCGATTTGCCATTTAGTTAATTAGAAATTCGAGAAGCATATCAAATTTGGTTTTTCATTATAATAAAAAAAAGAAGAAAGTTTCATTTAATATATTGCTTCATTTGCTAAATCTTAATTAAAAAAATAAAATTACAAAATATCCTCGGATTGATCTACGGATTGACGGATTAAACAAATTATATGGATTTGCATCCACGGATCGCATACTCTCTTTTTTTTTAATATCACTTAAAAAATAAAGTTTTTGAATTTAAAAAGTCCTTTTTTTCTTTCGTTTTAGTTAAACTTTTTTATAATTAAATATACTAAATATTCATTTGAAAGAGAATTATGTGATCTCATGTAAAACAAATTTAAAATTTAATATAATTTAATATATTAGAAGCATACCTTACGTATGCTCCTAGTAATACTAGATTTTATTGGTTAGCATGAATTATTTTTAAACCAATTAAAGAAAGAATTGTCTTTAGCTTTTGTCGCTATTACCATGCGCCTCTTTGAAAGATTGGCGCTTATTTGGCGGAGATTTACAAAATATAAGCTATATTTATCCATAAGTTCAAACATGTGATATCATGAGTTGAACTGCAAACGTGTCAAAAAACTGTTCGATTTATCATATAAAGATCAGTTTCAAAATTTTTTTTTTTTTTTTTTTTTTATCTCAATTAAAAAATTCCTTTTACCCTCAAAAAACTCTTTTAAGAAAATAAAGTCATTAAAATGAAGGGAAAGAAGAAATCTGAAAAGAAAAAAGGTGACAAGAAACTTCCAACTGCTCAGCAAGAAAGTGCCCCAGTTGATAATTCAGGTACTTCTTCAGCTCCTCCAGTTGAACCTAAAAAAGCTATCCCTGAAAAAGCTAATCCTGAGCAGACTATCCCAGAACAAACTATTCCTGAACAAAATATCCCTAAACCACCAAAGAATGATAAGGTTTGTTATTCAGCATTAGGTGGCTTGGCTTTGTTGACATTAAATTAATAATATAATCATATTGAACTTAAATGAAAAAGTTTCGGACATTAATTTTGATTTAAAATCTTTTTTCTTTTTTAGCAGCCCGATAGAAAGGGAAAGAAGACGAAAAAAGTATGTTTATTACTTGTAAATGATTAATTGTGGTAATCGAATTTCTTTAAATATTAATATTAAACACGTTTTCGCAGATAAAGAACCAACCAAAGAAAGCTAGTTTTTTCGGCGGTTTATTTTCAGCTAAAAGGCTTTTTATCTATTATATTCTCTCCGTCTTTTTCTGGTGTGATGGCAAAACTCTCGAGCAATGCAATTCATATGAGGAAGTCCTCTGTTTTAACGGGATTTCACAGTATATTTTAAATCATGATTATTTTCACAAATTTATCGAACCAAAAATCACCGTGATTAAACAAAATGTTGAGGTCTATGGAAAACATGCTTTGGATACCGCTTCTGTTCATGCCAAACCTTATGTCAACCCTATACTCGAGTCAGCTCAACCTCATTTACAAACTGCGAGTGAATTATCTGTTGAATATGTGTATATTCCAGTTGCAAAAGGATTAACTAAAACACGCGAGCTTTATAATGAGAACGCTAAAGATCATGTGAACAAATTTTATCATCAAGCAGTAAAATTTAGTGCTCCATATGTTAGTCAAGCTCAAGAGCATACTTCCTATGCTTATGATCAAGCTTTGAAGTACAACAAAAATAATGTTCAACCTTGGTACAATAAAAAGGTCCTTCCTTTTGTAATTGATGCTAAAGACAGACTTTTTTTGTTTTACAACACCAAAGTTGTACCCTTTACTTATCATACATTGGAGGTTATAGAAGAATTTTATCACGAAAAAACGGTTCCTTTTTATCATACTTATATCTCACCTTATACCTCATCAGTTTTGAAGTTGATTCAAAGTGAAGGTCAATCCAAGGTTATAACTGAGGAGGAAGTAAAAGCTAAGAAATCTAAAGAAGCTGCTGATAAAAAAGCAAAAGTTGAAGCTGAAAGGAAAGCAAAAGAAGAAGCTGTTAAAAGAGCAAAAGTTGAAGCAGAAAGGAAGGCTAAAGAAGAGGCTGATAAAAAAGCAAAGATTGAAGCCGAAAGGAAAGCTAAAGAAGAAGCTGATAAAAAAGCAAAGGTTGAAGCCGAAAAGAAAGCCAAAGAAGAAGCCGATAAAAAAGCAAAGGCTGAAGCAGAAAGAAAAGCCAAAGAAGAAGCCGATAAAAAAGCAAAGGCTGAAGCAGAAAGGAAAGCCAAAGAAGAAGCCGATAAAAAAGCAAAGGCTGAAGCAGAAAGAAAAGCTAAAGAAGAAGCCGATAAAAAAGCAAAATCCGAATCTGAAAGGAAAAAAAAGGAAGCAGCCGATAAGAAGGCTCAAGAGGAAGCTGCTGGGAAAGCAGCTATCGAAGCGGTTAATAAAGCTGTTCACGATGCTTATAATAGAGAATATGAAATTGTTGAGAAAAATCTTACTCAGACTCTTGATATTTACGAAAAGGAGGCCACGTCCGTCTCACAAGAACTCCTAAAGGAGGTTGAGGATAGAATCTTGACTTTAAGTAACGCTGGATCCGAACATCTTGCCAAACTTAAAAAATTCGTAGAACAAATTAAGAAGGATAATACAAAAGATGATAAAACTACCAAGTTTAACGAAATAAAAGATTCAGCAATAAAATCTATAAATGCGCTTAAAGAAAGCGGTAAAGAATTTATTGAAATATCAGAAAATTCACTTAATGACTTGGAAGAAATAAAATTTAATGAATTGAAAAAAAATGCTGATTTAATTATGATTGATCAGGTTCATAATAGCAGAGAACGTATTAGCAAACTGGTTGATGATAAACGAGTAGATGAAAGATTAATATCTGAAATTAATATGGCATTTAGTAGTCTTATGGCGGAGTTTAATGGAAATAAGAATGAAGCTTCATTAAGAGTTCGGGAAATTTTTGCTAAAATTAGAAAGAAGATAACTCTTTTGGAAACTACAAGGGATGATCTTATTAAAAATATTAAAGATTACGTTAAAATGGAAAAAGAAAATTTAAAGAGTGATGCTAACGAAGTAACAACCAAAGAGCATGGAACGGATAATAAAAAAGATTCAGATGTAAAATCAGATTCTAAGATAATCGTTCAAAATGACAATAAGAACGATGATCAAATACCAGTTCAAGTAGAGGAAAAATCTTCAGTTGAAGAAAAATCTTCAAATATTCCTCCGGTTACAATTCAGATATCGAGCGATCCTGTTTTAGGAAAACTCAAGGCTCGACGGGATCTGGTGTTAAATAAATTAAAAGAGGGATATAAATTGTTTAAAGCTAATAAAGGTAATGAACCAGTTCAATCTTTAGATTACGAAGATGAAGAAGATGATGAAGATGAAGATGATGATTATGATGAAGAAGCTGGAGATAATGAATGCTCATCGGGGGATAAATAAATATTTAGATAGATAGAAATATATATATAAATAAAATAAATAACAGCAGGTCCGTTGTTTTGAATGTTTGAATTGAAAATATATATACAAATTACACCTTTTTGGTGTAGTTTACTTTTTATTAATAAATTACTGTACTTTTTTAGCCTTAGTGCTGTAAATATTTAAATTATTATTTTTTCGAATCTTTGAATGTACTGTATATTCTTAAATTTAGAGATAAGCTTTTGCCGACGGTTCGAATGATTTTACTTATATAGAAATTGTGAATATAAATTTTAATTTTGTGGCTAAATAACGTAAGTTTAGAAGCTTTCAAAGTTCTAACGGAGAAATTCGGACATTTGGTGAAGATCCAAGTTTCCGTAAATTCCGAAACGCACGTAAAATTAAAATCCCATGATAATTTTATTTGACATGTATTATCATGTATTATGTAATTAGTTGTAATGAAGATCAGATGTTGTGTGAAATTTCTAAATATGAATTTACTACAAAAACTTCACACGAGTGAATTAGAAAATCTGGGTTTTAATAAAAAAAAACGGTCGGAATTTGTCGGATGAAAATACATGGTCCATTCGCGAAGCGAAGATAACTTCAAATAAAGCTGCAGTTCGGCGTAATTCGGATGATCCCTTGAAAAGTGTACAAACCTAAAAAAACCTTAAGAGTTCGTCGTTTATAAAAAGGATTCAAAAATTTATTCGAAAACTTCGTATTCCTTTCTCAAAACTACATAAAAATAAAAATAAACATGAATAGTAACAGTAAGTGAAAATTTTTAAATCAAATTTGATTTGATAATTAATTTTTAATGATAATTTTTATAAATAGGTAGTCGAACTTTCATACTATCACGGATGTATAATAATGCTCGTAGAAGTTTTCACCGAGACACTTCTAATAATCAACCATTCGGTTTATTAACCATACCTACGACCGAATCGATATTGAATTCTACTAATTTACTTCCTACAAAATCATTGATCCGATCATCATATGTCAAAAGAAATGTTGCTTCGCTGGGGAAAACACAAGGTGAGATTATTTGTATTGTGGATATTGTCGATCCTTTAAAATTCGTTTAATTTATAACGGTTTCACCGATTTCCTTTTTCTATCAGGGAGATTGGTTATACTTGGTATGTTAAAATTTTATAATCGTACATGTTGTTTTAACTTCTATATTAATTATTTACCAATGATTTGATTTAGGATCTGGATGGGCAGGCAAGTCGAAAATGAAAATCGACCGCATGTTATTGATTCGAAAAAGTAAATTAATTATTCTGTTATTTATAGGGTATAAATTGATCCAAGATTTAAATACTGAACATTATGAAACTATTGTTGTTTCTCCAAGGTAATTTTAATATTAGACAATGAAAGGTTGCAATTGATTATAAATAACTTGATAATTTTATCTTAAACTTTTTTTTATTTTTGCATGCTTTTAACTAGGAATTATTTCGTCTTGTAAGTTTATTATTATTTATTATTATTGGCTCATATTTCAGGTATATAGTTTCTCATTCAAAATCTTATTCCCTTTGTATTTATAGCACGCCATTACTTGCGTCATCATCTGTGGGCACTTTAGAGTTCAGGTGCATAATGGAACCTATTAGGAAGTATTCTCCTAAAATCCAATATTACCAGGCTTATGCGGATACCATAAGTAAGTTCAATTTTCAGTATTCCGTTTCATATGAACTGAATTATTTTTCATTAATCTTCCAGATTTTTAATTCTAGACCTTAAGGAAAAAATAATTCATTGTACCTCTAACCTTGAACGCAACAAAGACAAGTTCTCTCTTAATTATGACACTTTGGTTATATCTGTCGGTGCAAATTCTAATACCTTTGGTATTAAAGGAGTTGGAGAATATGCATTATTCTTAAAGGATGTTTCTGATGCTCGCAGAATACGTCAAAGGGTGATTGAATGTTTTGAACATGCAAGTCAACCAAATGTCACAAATCAAGAAGCGTTCGGATTGTTGCATTTTGCTGTCGTTGGTGGAGGTCCAACTGTAAGTGTTTTTTAGATGAATGATTTCATAAAGAGGTATTCATGAAAATATTTGACAACGTATTATATTAATCTTAACATTCCACGATTAAAGGGTATTGAATTCAGCGCTGAGCTGTAAGCTAAATTTTTTTTATGTTCGAGATAATTTTTTTTTTTAAAAAAATTTGGTAATAATTTAAATATTTCATGTTATGTTTATTTATATGAACAGTCACGATTTTATTACAGAAGACATGGCTCGTTTATATCCGGATTTGATGAATTTAGTAACAATGACTATATATGATATAGCACCTCAGATTCTCGGTTCCTTTGATAAATCTCTCAGAGATTTTGCCACTAAAAAGTTTACAAGAAAAGGAATCCAGATCAGAACAGGACGTAGAGTTAAAGAAGTAAATGAACGTAAAATCGTTATTGAAGAAGATGGAGAAATACCCTACGGAATGTTAGTTTGGTCAACTGGTATATTTTTTGGTTAATCATGTAATAAGTTCAAAATTTGAAATCCTCAAATGATGTTTAAGTCAAATTCAATTAATCGGTGGGTAGGATTAACCGATAATCCACTGACACGATCTATGGGCGATCAAGTTATGAAAGATAAGTCAGCAAAAAGGTAATCTTTTTTAATCTTTTGTATTTATAAACATATTTATTTAAATTTCATATTCAAATTTAATTGACAATGAAACCATTTAATTTTTTAATTGGTAGACTCTTGACCGATAATCTCCTAAGAGTTTTAGATAAAGAAACAGGTCAACCTATAGATAATGTGTAAGTTGAGAAATCAAGTACTCTTGAAATGTTATTAATAGTTTCATATTTTTTTTTTTTTTCTTTTAACGCGTATTCTCTTTTAAGTTACGCTTTAGGTGATTGCGCGACAATCAAAGATAATGATCTCCCTTCTACAGCTCAAGTTGCTAACCAAAAGGCCGTGTATTTGAGAAAATGTACGCTAATGTTTGTGTGAATTACCCTTTTTGACATTTACAACTATATATTAATATCGTTTACCATCAAACTTCTTTTATAGCTCTAACTAAAATTGCTAATAGCGGTGGTTCGATAATAGGTATAAAACCTTTTAAATTCTTTAATCTCGGGAGTATGGCATATATTGGAAAGAAAGAAGGTAAATGATATGAATAGATGATTCTTCAATAATTTCTTGGTATTAATCCTCACGTTTGATTAATTAGCTGTCGTTGATATGACACCTGTAAGTAATAAGGCTAAGGAAAGTGGCACATTAGCATGGATATTTTGGAGATCTGCATACTTTACCATGACGGTATCGTTACGAAATAAGATGTTAATGTGAGTATTATATAACAATGATAATGATAATGATAACATTTTAAAATATAATATTTAGAATTTTAAAAATTAAAAATTTTTTTTTTTTTTTTTTGACACTTTCATAGCCCGATGTATTGGCTATTAACATGGTTGTTTGGAAGGGATATAAGTAGATTTTAAAAGGAATGTGTTTCAAAAAAGGACAATTTATGTATGTGTAATATGAACTTTGAATATGTATACCTTTTTTATTTAATTTATATTTATTAGAGTTTTTTTTTTTTAGTCAAAAAAAAAAAATTAATAATAAAAAAAAAAATTAAAATTTTCTAAATCTAGTTCTTTATATATAAACAAAGGATTAATATTTAAATTAATTGTTGTGATTTATACTACGATCATTGTATAAATATCTTTTATTGTAATGAATAAGTTTAACCAATGAAATGTGCACAAAGACTAATTAGGAATCGAGATTATAAATATTAATTACAATGAAACGGTGATAAATTGTAATATCATTAAGGTTGCGACAGAAAAGATGGAAATGGAAATTTTGTAGGCGGAGGAAGTGGATGATTGGTTATTATCTTTTGAATTTTTGGAGGAATCGGAGGATTTAGTGGAACCATAAGGAGCATCTTTTTTGTTGCCCGGATTAGCATCCTTTTCATCCTTTTCATCCTTTAAATGTTTTACAGTGGCCGGATTAGGAGCACCACCAGGATTAGCAGCTACGTTATTAAGTTTAATGCGCCTATCTTTTGTCATGGTGTTTCCACCTTCAAGATAAGACATCTGTAAAGTAAAGTGACCGGATTTAAAATCAAATTCCGCCGGCAACTTATTTGCAACTGTCCAAGTATAAACGGCGAAAGGAACTCCTTCTTGGGGAGCTTTAAGTGCTACTTTACTGGCAATATCAGTCAATTTAATTTTATTGTATTCATCAAATAACGTTAAAGAAACTTCTGCAGGAGGTATTGTTTTTGGATTTACAATAATATTTATAGGTAAACTTTCCCCGGCGGTGTAAGAGACATTCCAATATAAATAATAAAAGTCTAAAGAACCGGGTCCAGTATTTGGAGTTGTGGAATATGGAATAAATTTACTACCACTTTTAGGTGTCTTTACTTCGGCATTCTCCTTTGCAGCTTTGGCATTTTTTGCTGGAGCTTTTGCATTGTCTGGTTGCTTTACTGGTTGTTTTGCTTTATCTTTCGGGCCGCCGGCAGCTATAAATAATTTTAAAAAGAGTTATTTATTTATATATATATATGATCTAAAAATTTTTTCAATTCTGATAAAAAAAAAAAAAGATCATTTACCTTTTTTTTGACTTTGAATACCAGTAGCACTTAACAAGACTAAAAAGAAAATTGTAAAGATTGTAAGGTGTGACTTCCTCATGGTCGGGTGTTTTTTTTTTTTTTTTAAAAAAAAAAAAGGAAGGTGAAAAGAATGTGAAGGGGAGAGGAAAAAAGGAAAGGAGGAAGAAATTAGAGAGTGAAAAGGAAATTAATAAGTTAAAAATGACAAATTGCCATTCTCTCTCATTTGGAGACTGTATTTATATTATTAGTGGATAACATGATTTGACGTCTCATTTGTCGAATATAGAATCCATGTGCATTCCCTGCATTTATTTATATTCCTTAATCGAGAAATCATTCGATTTAAACATCTCTTTATTCCTCGATTTGTTTGGTTACACGTAATTAATGGAACGGGTAATTTTTTCCAGACGTCGCAGTTACATGTCACGAATAACGTAAATCTTCATAATAGACGCGTGTTATTAATTTAATTCATTTATAAAATTAAATCGAAATAAAAAAGATTCTTTACATTTTATTGTTCTAATTTTCTTTTATTTGGCCCTTTTGGCCTACCCCGACCCCGTCCTCGAACTTTTGTCCTTTTCTCCACTTCTTTCACTTTTGTGTCTTGGATAACTTCATTGTTGCCTCGTTTGTGTTCTCTGCCTCTTCTTGTGACACGAGATCCTTTCTTATCTTCTTTAACAACATCATCTATTTCCTGTTTCATTTCTTCAGAATCAGAAGAATTAAACGAACTACCCAAATATGAAGACTCATCGGTGATAATATTACCAACAGATTCAATGCTGTTTATCTCGTCACTATCGTAAATCCCTTCAGCTCCATCATCACTTGATTCACTAACGCTTAATTCTCTTGTTCTTGTATAATCCAATGTATTATTGTCATCCAGACTAACATTACCTTCATTTGTTCCATGATCTAAAGCTGAACTTTGAGAAGAAAGCATATCATTCAATAATTGTGATGCCGTATTATTATCTAATTCATAATTATGTTGAGGTGGTGATTTCGGTGTTGATGAAGTCGAAGCACCTATTTCCAAGTTCTTTCTTAATCGTGTTTTA